ATCCGTGACCTGTTCCCCATTGCCAACAAGACAAGAACTAGCTGTGAATTCTGCGTTAACGCATTGGTTTGTCTCTAGAAGCGACTAACCTAACAATCTACGCCTCATCATCACCTTTCTCCAACTCTCCATTCTTTTTGCATGCGATCATACCAGTGTCTGTGAAATGGAGCATTAGGATGTGATTGAGAGGGAGCTAACACATCCAACTCACATTCATCCCGATTCCGTCCATCCGTCCGTCCGTCCATCCATCCATCCATCCATCCACCCATCACAATCTGTGATGTGAGATCCTTCCTAGAGTCAGTTTTTTATGTAAGTGATAACATTTTTCACGGCATTACTTTGCAAGAATAAAAGTGTGAGTCTCATCGCATTGATTCACCTCGTCTTGGTTGTGTATCAGGAAAGAGTGTTCGTGCACAACTTCTAGTTATGGTGGACAGCGAGATGTCGACTGCAATCGCTGTTTGACCTTCGAGGAGGGAAGGATTGATGGCAAACAGTGAACAGTGAACAGTGAATAGTAGAGATTGTGGTGCACCACACAAGGCAGGCATGTGAAGTGTGTATAGGCGTGCTCTTTGGGAAAGACGAGGTGTGTCCACTCACTTGACGTTGCAATGCTAAGACTCCTTCCCATCAGGGTTCAGTCAGTGGATCAGTAAGTAATCTGAAATGCACAGCGTGGAGGTGCAACGTAGGTGTTGGTTGTCAAGGCTTATTGTGTGTCATATGTTGATGGGTGTGAATGGCAGCTATTTGTTTAGCCCCTTAGATGTCATAACGTTCCCTTCCCAGTTAACAGGCGTGTCAATGGCATGTTTTCCAGCTCACTTTAAATATTTGTTCGTGACCATGAGTTGTTGTTGATAAGTTAACGTGGAATGTTGTTATCAACATCGGTTGGTAATTCTTTGGGTTGGGGAGTCGACAGTCCTTCCCAGCACAATAAATCAGGAATGGAGTAATTCATCACTAGATTTACATTACTCACTGAGACCGTTTCTGGATGTCACGCCCTCTTAATGC